CCCCCCGTGGGCCCCCCTTCCCTGAGCTACACAGGCAGCCACTCAGGGCAAAGGCCAGCGCCGCAGAGGCCCTAGCAAATCAGCTTTCAGGAAACCTAAAGGGTTGAGAGAGTCAGCCCAGGCCAGGCTGACAGAGCCTCCACCGGGCGAGAAAGAGGGCTACGGAGGCACTGAGCGCGTCCACTGTCCCCAAAGCCAGCCTGGCCTGCAGCCTGCGGACACCGAGACATCTGTGGATTGGGAGGGAGGTCCAGCAGACCGATGGCTGGAAGCCATCAGCAGAGGCCCGGTGCCGGCGGAGCTCAGAACAGCGCAGCCAGCAGGAGCGGCAGGAGCAGCACCGGCCAGGCCGCAGGGAGCCCTGAAACGCAAGGAAGGCGACTGTCACGTGGTGGGCTTTGCTCCGGCTCCAGCCTTGAGGATGAAGGTGGGGCCACACCCTGAAGATGGAAGAGGGGGAGCTGGGAGGTGGAGGGAGAGCTGGGAGGAGCCTGGGTTCCTGAAGGCTTTGGGGTTGCCCTACGAGCCCCGGATTGCTCGCCTCTGGACTTGTGTGAGAGAAATAAACTCCTGTCGTATACGAGGCGTTATTACCCAGGCTGGGAACTTTCTCTCACGTCACCCTCTGCTCTTTCTAAAGCACCTGGCTGCGTTTCATTGTCTGTTTCCCACACTGAGGGCAGGCGCCTGGACTCCGCTGTCCATCCTTATATCTTCAGTGCCTAGAGCAATGCGTGGCACACAGTAGGCACTCAAAAACTGTTCGTCGTTAATCGATCGGTTCCCCTGCTAGACCGGGCATTTCCAGAGCTAGCCTTGGGACGGACTCATTTCAGTGTCCAGTTTCCAGCCCAGGGCCCGCCCAGTGCAGGGCTGAATGGATGTGAGCCAAAGTGAGGAGAGGAAGGAGCACTGGGAGGGAGAGGAAAAGGCAGAGAAAATGAGGTACCTGCAGTGCCGGGGGTTCCGCTCATGACGCCGAGGGACGAGGCACCTGGTGACAAAGCAGAAGGTGAGGGTTTCCTCAGTCACGCTCCCGTGGCTGCTGCACTGTGGCCGCGGTTGCTCCCAGTCCCCTTGGACCTGGCCACCCCGTTGCAGAGGCATCTAGTGCCTGGCAGGTACCTTTCTGAACACATTTCATGCATGGGAAACTTAACCCACCCAAGAGTATTCTCACCCCCATTTGTCAGGTGAGAAGACTAAGGCTCAGTGATGTCAAGAGACTTGCCAAGGTATCCTTGCTCGTAAGTAGCAGGGCTGGGATTCAAACCCCAGGCTGTCTGATTCCTAAATGAAAGCTCTTGAATCCCCCCACCGCACCCCCAGCTACCCTGTGACACCGCATGAGGCTCAGTAAAGGGAGAGGATGGCTCAGGGCAGAGCCTTCGTCACAGACAGCCTCAGCGGCCCGTCTGGGGAAGGGAAGAGGGAACGCTGCAGCTGCGAGCGATCCACGTGGCAGTGCATGTAAGTGTGGCCGGCACAGCGCCGGCTGGCAAAGGGCTGCTGTTCTTGTTGCTGTTGCTACTATCACATTACTGTATCCCAATCTGTTTAGGAAAAATTATAATGCACCCTGGCCAGGTGGCTTAGTTGGCTGGAGCATCGTCCTGGGCACCAAAAGTTGTGGGTTTGGTTCCCAATCAGGCACATGCCCAGGCTGCAGGGGGTTGACCCCAGGTTGGGGCACATTCAGGAGGCAACCGATCAATGTTTTTCTTTCACACCGATGTTTCTCTCTCTCAAATCAATAAAAATATATCCTTGGGTGAGGGTTTTTTTTAAAATGCTTTCATTCTTCTGGGTTTCTTGACTCCTCCATTCCAGTGGGAATAAAAACCAGGACAGTCCTGCTCACCCATGGGGACAATGGGTGAAAGTCTGAGGAGCAGTTGGAAGCTTCCCCTGCCTCACCCCAAAATACTGCAGCTGGGTTTGGAGAAACAGTCATTCCCCAGAAAACAAAGTTGGGTTGGGACTTAGCCTTCACCCCTAAGGGACTGAGTTACAGGGACCTGGCAGGAGAGTTAAGGGAAAGGACACACGCTTTGGAATCAGACCAAACTGGGTTGAAGTCTAACTCCAGCCGCTCCCAAGCTGGGTACCTTGGGTGGGTCACTTAATCCCTCTGAGCTTTGGTTTCTCACCTATAAAATGAACCCAGTCAGATAAAGGTCAAGTGATTCAATGGATCCTGAGCACACAGGAGGCCCAGCTCCAGTGGAAAATGCTGTTATTACTGCCCAGAGCACCTCGTGGAAAGACAGGTGCACTGGCTGAGGCTGCAGTGAGGCGTCAGGGGAGGCTCTGCATTGCTAGGTTGGTGACTCCAGGCATCTGTGGTTAACTGTCAGCACTTGACCACTGGAATTGTCACCAGGACTTGGCTGCTTACCTTTCCTACTGATGGGTCCCAAATCTAGGACCAGGGCTGGGTTGATCTCCACTGCTTCACTGCGGAGTTGGTTTCTTGAGCAACTCTGTGGGGATGGAGCGTTCTCATGACATCAAAATGTAAAGGACGCTTCCTATCAAGGTCTGGCCCAAGAATGAAGCCCAGACATCGTAATCCGATGCTGGGGTTACCTCACTATTGAGTATTCTCACTGTCATGTCTGACAGACCTGGGTTAGGATTGCACCTCCACTCTCTTTTAGCTGCCCAATTTGGGACGAATGACTCCAGCTCTCTACTATCATTAAATAGTGCCTTCCTGGTTGGGAAGGTTAAAATGTGGTATGTCTACAACACCCCGACACATAGTAAGCGCTCAACAAATGCCAACTATTAGCAGGCAGCGTCAAAAAGGGGCTAAGGCCATGGGCGCTAGAGTCACACTGAGCCGGGGCACGTCCAGCTCTAATACTTGGTAGCTGTGCAGCCCTTGGGCAAAGGGCTTCTCTAGGCCTCAGTATCCTCACCTGTACAATGGGGTCAACGAGAAAATCTACCAAAAGGGTTGTTGTGAGAATTAAATTAGACAAGGCACATGGAAGTTTTGGTGCAGTGCTTGACACAGAGTAAGCACTAAAAAAAGGCAACTATTATTATAATCATCTAAAATACGTCTTGTGCCAAGGAAACCTAGTGGACAGGGCCCTTCAGCTGGGGTCACAATAACTGCTTATACAGGGGCTTTTTGGCGGCTTAACATCCATCTGTCCTTCCTTCTTTCTTTCTCTTTTTCTCCCTCCCTCCCATCCATTACGCATCCATCCCTTCACCCATCCAACTTCCTTTCCCCTCCCTTCTTCCCTTCCTTCTGTTCTTCTTTCCATCCATTTATAATTCCAGCAAATATACATGGAGAGCCCACCAGGTACCAGGCCCCAAGTCAGACTCTGAATAGTCAAGTCCAAAGAGATACTCACCGGCTGGCACGGCTCATTAAGGGGATTACAAAGGCGAACCTCGCAGTGCAGGAAAACTAGGTCATAATTTCCCGCAAACATGAACATCTGAACTGAGAACCGGCTTTCGGAGGACACTCCATTCTCCTCCACGTAGATAGTGGAGTCGCGTTGATTTGGGCAGCTGGGGGGGTGACAGAGGCAAGGCTCTAATTTCTAGAACAGCCCTTGGCTGCCTCTTTTATCTGTGTCCCATATAAAGACAGCAGCCGAGAGAATTACGGAGCCCAGGTTCCCTCCATCCTGACAGCGTCGCTGTAACCCTCCCGGTGCCCTAAGTGCTGTCCGCAAGCCCCACGGCTCAAGGCCTTGGAGCGCAGTCTCTGGAGTGAGACAGGCTGGTTTTAAATTCCAGCCCGACCCACTTCCCAGCTGACTGATCGCGAGCAGGTTGCTTCACCCCACTGAGCCCCACTTTTCTTCTCTGGAGAGACAGGGAGATGCGAATCCTGGGGTCGACATGAACATGAACATGAGCGTTCAGCGAGGTGACCAGGCACGCGGCTTAGGCGCACCCCACGGTAAGCATTAGCTGGTATTATTACCACGGTTTGAATTTTCCCTTTGTTCTTGCAGTTAACAATAGTCAATAATATTTTGTCCCATGACCCTTGTAATACCGTTTCCATGTTGCTTAGTCAGGGTCAGCATCTGTATAACAGCCCGTCCTTAATTAACAGAGCCCCATTTTGAGCACTGATCTATTACCAAAGCTATAAAGAACCCGAAATGGAAAACTAAGATTAGAGTTCCTTCACCCTGCCCACTTACTTTGAACTAATGCTTTAGGCTGCAATTTCAGGAGCAATACCCCTGGGTCATAGGGCCCACTCATGAAATATAACATCAAATTACTTTCCAGAAGAGATAAGCCAACTTCACAATCCCCAGGCAGGGCCAAAGCGATTATTTTCCCCCAACACTTCGTTTAGGCCAAAAACTAAGCCCAAGGTGTCTGATACCTGTTTTTGATGATGAAATATTTCACAGGGTCAGTCCTGTCTGCAGTGGGCGTGGCATAGCAGTTCTTCAGCAGCAGGTTAAACTGGGACTTGTCCCCTTTCTCCAAGAAGGCGCCCACATAGAGCATAGACTCGACGGGCAGCTTAACAGAGTCCCCTTCGAAAGGCCGTGTGTAGTTCTGGTCCTGGAAGAGGGCCATCCTGACCGTGAACTCCCCATCCCCAGCCAGGCTGAGGTTCACGGAGCTGAGACAAGGAAAACCACAGCAGGGGAAACATCAGGCTTCGACCCATAAGAACAGACTAAACCAAGCCCCACTTGCTGTAAGATTATGAAGGCAAGAGCATATCTTTGATCCCTAAAGACACTGTTNACCCACTTGGTGTAAGATTATGAAGGCAAGAGCATATCTTTGATCCCTAAAGACACTCTTTGACCATTCATTTAAATCAGCATTTACTACTTCTAGGCACTAAACTTGACAAATAGATGAGCCTGTCTCCAGGCTTCCCAGCAGTCCTCCTGCCTCACAGATCACACGTGTTTCCTTCACCCCAAAGGCAGACCTCTGTCTTCTCCCCTGCAGAGCAGGGCTTGGGGCCAAGTCTGTGGGGTCATAATGTTTAGTAGATCTCTCCGTCTACCCCACAATCTTCAGTAATATGCCAATTTTAACAAGATGAATGCTTTTAATTTTTATTTTTTATGAACCTTGGGCCTCAACATAATACAGTCTAGAACCATGTGTAATCCTAGATACTAGAAAATGTGTAATCCTTATAATCCTGCCATTCTATAAGCCAGGAGCTAATGGGGGATGGGAAGGGCACCCTGGATCTCTGACACCCTCAGAAAGCCCCCTGGCAAGTCTAAGAGAGCTGAGGAGCTCATTCAACAGGGGCTCCTTCCTGCCACATCGTACGGGGGGGCAGTAGACAAAACCCCTGCCTGAATGGGACCCCACCCAAATTGCTATTTGGTTTTATTTCTGGTGAACATTTATCTAATCAAAGCTGATCCACCTTAAATCCCACATCTGAAGGGAAGCCCTCCTGCTCCCACCATCCCCTCACCCCCCACAATTAAGCCAGGGACCCTTGCTTCCTGATCCCACAGCACCCCATGTTTCTCCAATATTGCATTCATCTCATTTGCATTGATGTAATTAGTTGTTTAATGCTTTTCTTCCTCAAGATAAATAAAATGGTCATATGTTTTTATTCCTTAGCTCATTTAATTAACATTGTTTCATGTTGCCACATTGTTTCATAATAATGATCTTTAATACCCACAAAATATTCTGTGTCTGCCTTGTGCATTGAGCATTAATATGTGATCGACAAATTTTACAGAATGAGCGATCGGAAGAATGGAAGCTCCTGAGGGAGGCACGGAGCCTCCTGTGGAAGCCACCATAAGCTGTGCGCAAAGTGAGCGTCACCGATGTCAGGGCGAGGGGTCAAGGGCAAGGGTCAGTGCCGTACCTTACTATGGGGTGCAGGGCAGCATCGAGGCTGACTTTCATGTCCAGAGGGTAGGCGCACTCGAAGTTGATGTTGAGTTTGGTGTCTCTGATGATGAACTCATTGGCCAAGGAGAGGATGTTTTTGTAGATGACATGGGTTTCATTTCTCTTTGGCATAAAAATAAGACCACATATGTGTTTATGTGGACGTGTGTGTAGGTGGGCCTGGACTCAGGTCTGCCTGACTCCACGGTCAGGGCTGCCACCCTGCGTTCTGATCTCAAGGTGGCAAGTGGGCCTCCTCCCCCAGGGCCACTGATGCTTGATGGGAGGGGGAGTGAGGGCTCCAGATAAAAAAACGTATTGCCTGGAAGAAAGTGAGGAACCACCATCCTTGCTGCTCTGTTGACCCCTCCCATATCACCCCTCATTAAAATAAAGCATATTTTAATGCACCAGGAGGGGGTGTGCAGGAAGCAGCAGATCAGTGACTCTCTCATCATTGATGTTTCGATCTCTCTCCCTCTCCTTTTCTCTCTCTCTGAAATCAATTTTTTTAAAAAGCATAATCATTGTTTGCATTTATTGAGCTCAAGCATTAGACCTGTTCTAAGCTCTTTATATGGACCAACATGTATAATCTCACATGCCTCTAGACACCCAGAGAGGCTAAATAACTTGCCTAAGTTCTCACGGCTACTGAGATGGTCCCCACCGG